GGGCTGCGGCCTCAGCTAAATATTAACGGTTCAACTATACAATTGTATTATGAAGAAAGACATAAGGAATATTGAGAACATTCGTGCCAGAATTAGAAATCTAAAACTTTCTGTCGTTTTCAACGATATAAAGTATATATATATATATATATATATATATATACATGATTGAAAACTCACACCCCAGAAGTGACTCGAACCCATACTGCCAGGAGCAACGCAACTGGTATCTACAGGATGCCTTAATCCACTTGACCATCACGACCAAACTATGAGGAAGTGATAGCCGAAGCTATTTGAACCACTTCCCCACCGGTACTCGGATGGTAATCTTGGGCATAGCATTTTATCAAATTACCTCATTCTTTGGGGCACACGTGAGGAACACATATGCGAACAAGCCTGAATGGTCCCCAGGACTATATGCGACTGAAAACTCACACCCCAAAAGTGACTCGAACCCATACTGCCAAGAGCAACGCAACTGGTATCTACAGGACGCCTTAATATATATATATATATATATATATATATATATATATATATATATATATATATATATATATATATATAATATATAATATATATATATAATATGTTTCGGTGAATATGACTGCATTTTCTGTATTGATTATTTTCTTGTTTAGAACTTCTATCCCTCTGACTAGTGCTCTTGCATCATGGTTTAATTGGAAGAGGACTTCTCCAAATGTCATCTTCATTCGAGGTAAACTAAAAGAATAAGTCACTGTAGGATGTATTACACTAATCATGAATGTACACAACGTTTCGAACCTATATGGTTTATTCTCAAGTGATGGGACTATAGATGATTGACGAAGATTAATCCACTCAAGAGGTGGCACGGGCCTGAATAGCCCGTAATGGGATTGTATTGGTCATAATGGATTTATATCATTAGGGAGGTCAGGTAGATAATACAAATAGGTGAGGAGTACGGCGTAAAGGGAGAAGAAAATGGGGGACAAATAAAGCGGAAAATGTTTTTTTAATAAGTCCACTACGGGCTCACCATAACCCATGCTACTTGGAACGTTTTGTTCCCAGTAGTCGAATCTATAACAACAACAACAGGGACGAATAAAGCGGAAAGGGAGGAAGCACATAGAAAGATTAATCAGGTGTAGTGGGCGTGGCGTTTAAAGCAGTGTCGTTGACATCTACGTGTTCCGGTCCTGTTCTTACTCTCATGGTGGGTAGTTCCCTTGTGCGGCTATATATAGCGGGATGTTGGGCCTTTATATGAATGACTTTTATATGAATTTGTAATCTTATTACATCCTGAGTTTGGTCTATTATACAAGTAATTTTATTCAACATTTCTTTTGTTAGGGTGATGTTACTCTAACAAGGAAAATGTTGAATATAAACAACCACTCACGCTGGCACCTGTGACGTCAACAAGTTTAACATGAAGAACACCGATTACATCAACTACATCAAAACACCATCAACATCAACAGTGCCCAAGTCAGTATTAATGAGACCCCATACAAATGAGCATGTAGATTGCCACTAATACCAATCACCACCAAGAGAGGCAACAAGAGTCATCAACTGTGACCTCAGCGCCATCACTAAGGACACCTGCATCAACATCAACAAGAAGAAGAAGAGAACATTAACAAGAGGCTGACTGGTGCAACAAGGAGGGAGGTGAGGGCCGCAGGTCGCCGGCCGCGCCATCAACCAACCAGCGGGCCAGGTGCCTGCATGTGTCCCGGTAGTTTAGATCAGATTATAGATCTATCGTGTGAGAGCGGAGCTTCCTCCTCCCCCCCTCTCAGCCTCCAGGGAACTAATTTGTGCTGTTTTAAGTGACATTAAGTACAAAAGTCCCAAGGCTCTGAAGGCACTTTTGTGGGGCATTTTAACAGCAAATCGTTCTCTCATGTCCTTTTTTTACGCGATTGATCAATGCGTTAAAAATACGGTGTATTGCTAAAACTTAAAACCCCTGTAATTGAAACGTTTTAACGAATGTTCCCCCTGGTAGGTTAGATGGTGTGGTTTAAGGTCGTGTGTTTCTAGGAATGGCTAAACAGTTGCATTATTTACGGAGCGGCAGATCGATCGAGCGGTCTGACCTACTGTAATTACGAGGTAGATTAATTACCGATAACCACTTAACTGTCGGTAGAGTCGAAGACGAGACTACCTCGTTTGGGGTATTTTCGCCCTTAAGAACGAGTGGCATGCTCGTGTCCTCAACCACCCGGACTATTCAATCACACGGGAACTGTTCATTATTAGTTTTTGTCGTGTTTGTATAACTCCACCGTTTCGTTCCGTTCAGTTCCGTTCAATTCCGTTCCGTTCCCGCCCGTACATTGTGTTCCGGGCCGGGGAGGTGAAGAACAGTGGCCTCTCGGGGCGGAGTGCGCATGGCTCGGATTCACTTGTTTTGGACCCATCAGCGGGGATGAGCAAGGACACGAGGAACAAAGACAGACTGTTGGGGGTAGTGACGGACCCGTCACCTGCACGCTGACGGGGTCACCGTGACGGCTGACGGGGTCACCGTGACGGCTGACGGGGTCACCGTGACGGCTGACGGGGTCACCGTGACGGCTGACGGGGTCACCGTGACGGCTGATGACACCGAGACACTTAGTTGGGGCAACATGACTGGTGCTGACACTCAAGGGAGTCAACATGTGGGAGAGGGAGGGAAGGAATGGTGCCCAACCACCTTGTTGGGACGGTCGGGCATTGAACGCCGACCTGCATAAAGCGAGACCGCTCTACCGTCCAGCCCAAGTAGTTTGACAAGATGTGGGGGAGGGAGGAGATTAGCAGCTGATACGAGACAAATGCCTAAAAGAAACCTAAGGCAAGTTTTTCTTGTTTACATTTTGTGGAGTTAATTTGTAGACATTTATCTATATAAACTCGCTACATTCTCCTTCCAATGTATATATTGACGATTTTC